CGAAACTGTCGCCCCATGTAGGTGTGCAACATGCAAAATGTGCAACGTGCGGGATAACACGGTAGGGCTGTCGGTGGAACCTGCGATGTTCGTTTCGGCCGACGTAGCCAGGTAACCCGTGCTTGCGTGCCAATACACTACTACCCCTGTTCTGGCTAGGGAAAGGAGTTTGTAAAAATGTCTATCCTGCAGGATGGCGGAGCCTTGCAGTGGCCAAAGGTCTGCATCTTTGAGAAAAACGTAGCCTTGGCTGGCGGCAGCTGTTGAGAGCGGCGCATCGGGTCCCTCACATAATTCAAGAATAACATTACGTGAAACAGGTTGGCTTGGGCAGGCATCAATGCGAATGAGGGCTTGCAACTCAGAAAAGGACTCGTCTAGGGGCGGCTTAGATTTGGCACTAGATACGCACACCTGACTAGGGATTTGGACGAGTGGTGGTGAAACAGTGTGCGTCGGAGCCAATGACTCGGAAAAACTGTTTTGTTCTTTAGGGAGCGGAAGAAAACTGACAAAATTGTGGGAAGGTGGAAAAGGCTCAAAACCTGGAGCAGGTGCTGAGAGGTCATTCCCGGTGGGTGGTGGCTCACAGAGTCAGTTCTTCGGCTGAAACGGCTGAGCGTGGTCCCGGGCGGCATGGTTCTTGAGGCATGGTTTGGAGCCGACAAGGACGGGGCAATCGTGGCTGAACTTGCAGCCTGCACCATAACTGCACCTGGCGGACGTGTGGAACCGCAAGCAAAACTTCTTGTCGCCGTGGCTGGCAGCCCAAGAAGAAGGCCATGGTGTCGATGGGGCCTTCTGGTCGGTGCCCTTGCTTTTACCTTTACTGGGCCCCTTATCCTTATGCTTGCCTTTACCCTTAGGATGTGGGAGAGGTTGGATGGCACGCGGTCTGGCCATCATGTGGACATCCATCAGGTTGCGGGTCTCAACAACTTCTATAATGGCATTTTCCATGTCCCAAGACTTTTCATTGCAAAGTCGGAAAATAGTACTCCAAAGGTCCCTGTCTGCTTGCTGGGCTTCCTTCATGTTGGGGGGGCGAAGACCATCGGACGGTTTGGCGGTGTAGAGTTTCATGAAAGCCTGGTCATAAGACTTCATTGCTGCCAGGTGACATACCTGGGCGAGGGCGAACGCATTTCGCCGAACTTCAAACATGGTAGCTAAGGCCCACGGGGCTGCGGAGACATCGGAATCCTCGACTTCCAATGCCGTATCGAAAACCAAGAGGCCTTCGATGCGTTGCCGTTTGCGGCCACGTTCACTCAGATCGATAGCCTTTGATTCGGAAAGTAACTCGCGCCATGGCAGCCACTGGTAACAATTTCGCTCCTTCTGCTGGAGGATTGTGCTTAGCAAACGGACACACGGTGTAGAACTAGTGGTCAACAATTCAGAAGGGTACTTGTGGGAAAACTCTTTTTTGAGGCGAACGAACTCTGAGTCCCGAACTCTCTTAGGGGGTAGTTCAGCCCACGCAAGCTGCAGAAGCTGGTTGGATTCCACTGGTTCAGAGCCCTCGGGGGGGGCGGTGACCTCAGAAACATATTGCCTGTCGGAAATGCGGTGGTGTAGCAGTCGAACCGAGGCAGCCTGGGGAGAGGATTTCCAAGCATCGTCGCCGTCGCTTGGCTGCAGCAATTTCTGAATGAACGATTCGAGAGCGTCCGAGTCGACAAAAGCAAAGCGAAACAAATCTGCTGAATGAAAACCTTGGTGTTTCAGGTGGTCTTGAATCCATTCTGGGACATGACAGGAGACCATGGTGTGGACAAATTCCGCATCGAGCGGATGCACTTCTGGAGCGTCCATGTTTTGGGACTTGGGAACTTCGTGTAAGGGGAGGGGATGCCAGCTAGAGCCGAGACACTCCGAATTTCGACAAACAAATAACGCCCAAAGTACCTCGGGAGCCCAGCTGAGGCCAGGTGTCAACTTGTCACTGAGTCTCTTGGTCCACAAAAAAATCAAAAGGTGTGTACGGAAGAGAACGGTCGTCCGAGCATCCGGTTGGAAAATAACAGTGTCGTATAATTGGTAGCAGAATGTATAACAACCAATGCAGAAACCACGACTGGAATAGGCTAGAAACTAAACGTTTCTTACCATCTCTGCCCTCAACTAAGGAGAGAGCTGAAAATCAAAAGTGCAATTGTTTGGTGACCCATTTTTAACTACATCCTCTGCGCAGGCATAATTCGAAATCCGAAGGAATAGAGGTGGCCAGGGATTTCTCCTGGCATCCAAGTTTCAGTCCACAGGCTGGCCTCCATGCGTCTCCATTGAAGATTGATACGTGTGCAATCTTGGAGCGCGGGTTTAAAATAAATTCATTGGGATTGCTGGGGTCGTTGAAAGGATCCCCCTCTTTGTCCTCCCAAGCTTGTGGTGTGGTTGGGACGGAACGGGTCCGTGGGGATCTAGAAGTGTCAGAAACTGAAGAAGGACCTGATTCGGATTCGGAAACATCTGCGGCCACGCCTTCAGGGTTGGAGCTTGGTTCGCAAGGGCTCCACAAAAAAGGCGGCCAGTCAATGTCAGGAGGCGCGGTACCAAAAGCTTTTGCGTCCACGGGGGACTTGCCCCCTCTAGCCATCGGCACCATAGGGCGCCAGCCCTTGCGGATTTCCGACGCTATCCGCACTTGGAGTCGCAGTTGGGACAAAGTATCATCTCTTGCATACCGCTTTGTTTGTGACACGGTTGCATGGTGTCCTTGTTCGATGATCCAGTGCTCGGGGAGATCGAGTGATCGGCCCGCGTGGATCAAAGAGGATTTGCAGCTGTGCACTGTGATCGTGTGCAATTCAGGACCTGAATAAGCTGGGCACATAAGGCTGTGAGTGCCGAGTTGCCTCAGTAGAACAGCCGCCTTGTAATACGGCATCGGCCTCAGCAGAATGGTGTCGGAGATGGGACCTGGTCCCAAATAGTCTGGGAACAAGAAGTCGGGCTCGAAAGTGCGAGATTTGGCGCAGTGCCTCCATTCCAGCAAGGTTTGAAACCACACTGTTCCCCAACTTGTAGAGGATGCAGAAGATAAAAGGCCGCAGGCCAAAGCAGCTGCGGCGGAAGGGTGGCCAGCTTTGGTCAGCTCACTGAAGCAACGGATCACCCCTTGCTCTAAAGAAAATGAATTTAAGGGAGTCCGTTGAAGGTCTTGAAACCGCATGCCGGACCAAAACAAAAACAAAAAGTTACCAGCTTGAAGAATGGTTGACGGAGGGCATGCATGAGACATCACTATGCGTTCAAGACCAACTTCGAAATGGAAAGGGAGAGGAAACACTTCACGTGGATTTCGGGGCCTCCTTTCTGACGCAAAAAAGGCTGATATAGACGGTGACCAAAGAAACTCTTTCAGGGGGTCGATCTCAGCATATTTAGCGATAAACCGTAAAGACTTGATGAGGATGAGGGGGTTGATGGATCCTTTATCTTTCTTGATAGAGGCCTCGTACGCGAAGTCAAGAAAAACACTAGGTTGAACTTGTGCGGGGTGCAAACCAAAAGGGGAGCACCACTCACAAAAAGCGAGCCAGACCTGAAAATGCCGTTTCAGGGAGAGTGGGCTGAATTTCTTGATAATACTCTGAATGTGAACGGCTCTATGTTTGCTGGCTACCGTATTTAGATAGACTCTGCTGAAGGGACCGAGAAAAGTAATAATCTTAGCCCACTCGGATTGAAGAACGGACATCTTGGAGGCTTCTTGCTGCTGAGTTGTAGAAGGTGCTGCAGAGCGATGGTGCCGGATCATCTTGAACAAAGGAGCCGACCTGAAAGGAGAAACTAATGAAGATGAAGCCAAAGGCGGCCCGCTGCTGTCTCCAGAGAGCAGGTCCGGCGTCAAGGCCGCTGCGCTTTGGCCAGGTGGGATCACAAAGTGGTACTTTGGCTTGGGCAGCAAAAGCTTTCGTGGCTGTTCCTCTGCATGAGCAGAAAAATTGGATCTGGGGTGGTCCCTGTGCAGCAAGAAGTGAGGAAGTTCTTCATCAGGAGGGTGCATCCATTTTCTTTTCGGCAGCAACGGCATGAACGATTTGGTAAAGAAAGGCCTAAAGGATGCAAAGCGAAAAACCTGTCCAAGAGATAGTCGACAAGACAGGTTGATCTGAAAAAGGAACCGTGTGCTGCCTGTTGATTTGAAAAATGAACCGTGTGCTGCCTGTATGCTTGAGCATAACATAGGCAGCACGAAACTTGCTTTGCCGACCTAGCCAACCTACAAGACCATGGCAAACCGAAACAACCACGGGGTTGCAGTTTTTGTTTCTAGGATGTGGTAGAGGTTCTAAGTAGAAGTTTTACAGGGTTTACTTAACCAGTTACAATAAGCATCACCAGTAGCATGACCCTCAGAGGAGTTTCATAGACCCTAAGAAGGCGTTTAAATCGACCATATTGTTCCATTGGAATCCAAAAACTTCCAGGAGTCTCCAAGAAAAGACTGATTTTCAGTGCATAGATTGAGAACCGGGTTTCCACCCCCTCCGCCTCCGCACACGCCCCGCGCACTGTCCACACGTCCCGGGGTGGGGGGTGTCTACCACTAGTAGTAGTAGCACTAGTACCACTAGTAGTAGTAGTAGTAGCAGTAAAGTGCTTGTTGTCCGGTTGTTTTGGGGGGGGGGGTCAAAAAACAACGACGGGGTTGCAGAATTTGTTTCTACCCCCTTGTAGAGAAAAAGAAAGAATATGTGGTGTAACGGGGTTGCAGTTTTTGTTTGTACCTTGTTGTTGTTGTTGTTGGAAGGTTTTCAGGGAGCTTCTTGCTAGGCATACATGGCCGGTCGGAGCTCTTTTGGGGGATGCAGTTTCCTCTGGAAGAATCCTCGAACAGTCACAAAATGGCTGTGGATCAAAACCAGGGGTCCCTGATTGACCCCGGGTCAAATGAACAGATTCCTCTATTTATGGATATTTATGGGATGTCAACCTCCCATGGTTTCGTAGGGCTTGGACTCACAGTCACATCTGCACAACCAAGTCGCCCTCACCGCCGCCTACGTGGGGCGGCGGCAACTGGACGGCCAGAAGGTCCTCTTTCGAGAGACTCACCTGAGGGATTTCTTGCATGAGAACGTCTCAAACAACACCAAAGGATTGGGGTACCGTCAATGTCTCAAAATTGGTCCAATGGCTTTTGAAGTCTTGCCTCCACGAAACATTTGTCTTTGGCCACCACCCCCCGAGAGTGGAGAGAAAGGAAAGACTTCCAGGGACAGTCTCACGAACTTGACAGACCATCGGTAATTTGAGGGCACATAGCAACGGTCTCACAAGAGATCTTGTGCTGATACCGTACTGCTAGTCCTTCTCTGAAACCAAAAGGATCCGCAAGGACCAGGATTAAGATACTTTAGGATATCATCTCCGTATCTCCTAAACAAAAATCATCAGGGGCACAGGCTGTGGTTTTTGGGATTCCTAAGTGGGTTGATCAAACACCATTGTTGCCGTTGTTGACTCATGGCACCTCCAACTTGGGACTCATGGCACCTCCAACTGCACACCTGCCCAGCTGAAGTGTTATGGAGTGTTGATCAAGCATGCGACCATTGCCCAGCCTATCCTGTATCGGCTGAGGGGCACCGACCGGTACCCCCGGTAGCGGGCTTGGTACCCCTGGGCACCCCGAATGGCACGACCTGGGCGCTCCCATTCCCCGTGATTCATGCGACCTGTTCCGAGAACAGGCGATCCATTGAATATAGTGATCCCCAAATAGGTGGCATGGTGTCCTGTCTACATGTTTAGTGGGGATATACTGTTCATTACTGTTCTATCTATTTGGGGGTCTCCATATGGGTGACCCCTAGTTGGACCGCCCTGGTCAGAAAAGGAAATGACCAAGGCCATTGGTTGGAAAAGCTTCCCTCGCCTGAATATGGTTGGCAATGTCCCAGGCCGATGTCTGTGTTCGCTGGTCGCTGTGGTCCACATCGGTCTTCTGGCTGAGCTTCACTGGAATGTGGGCGCATTCGGAGTTCTTGAGGGAAAACTGAAGTTCTTCATAGCCTGAATCCATCTTGCCATACTCAGTGCTGCAGAATGTCACGATGGCTCTGGCACCAGCAAGACCTTGGATCGGACTTGGACACCTGCAATGCTACCAGACAAAATAACATACAACCCTAAAAGCCGACATAGCACATATATGCAAATATTGTATAATTGCAGTATACAGTACAACCCTAAAACCGGCATAGCAAAAAGATGCAAATGTTGTATAATGACAGGTAATTCAATGGACCTGGTGGACCTGGATAGTATTAGTAGAAAAACAATGTCCCTCTTCCGTTCACTCACAGAAGTGAGTGTTCGAATGAGGGGAAGGTCTCATCCGCGCCAGGAGACCGATCTGCTCAGCCACGCGAGGAGTGGCCTCCAAATCCACGAAGCTGCGAATGCCCATGTTTGTGAGCTTGGTCTTGACATCAGCTATAAGTTGCGAGTGCTCCTCTCAGAAGAAGGAAAACGCTAGTAGCTCGTCTTTCTCCCCTCTGTGTTCCAATATCACCACTGCTGCCTAGCTATGAACACGCTGTTATTGCTGCTAGTACTAGTCCTGAGTACTGACAACTTGACAGCGACAATGACGACTACTACCAGCAATACTATCAAGCCTCACATCCTGCCCCTCCTTGGTGGGCTCGTGGGTGCCGGAGAGCAAGACATAGTTCCGGGAAATAGGATTCTCCTGCCACCCTTCAAAGAACCCAAACATCTTTCTCAGAACCCACTCGCCGTGGCTTCGAAATAGCGCCCAAATAGGCTCTTCGAACCCAAATTGCAGCAGTTATGCAGCGGTAATTAAACAAACAAACACGTGGTTGAGAGTCTTGAAGCCCAGAACCAGGCCATCCCATGCTAACCCTTTTAAGGAAAAACGACACGATACTTTCCAGGTTCGGGAAGCCATGTGAAACCACCTGAGCTCTGGGCTTCATGTTCATCTCCAAGGAAGCATAGGTGACCGCCCAAAGTGATTCTACTCCCTCCTCTGGAGGCATTTTGGTGTCATCAACCTCACCCAGGCTGTACCATGTTCCTCGTCGCCGCCGTGTTCACGGAAAGTCTAACCCCACTGGGTTCCAACTACCTCCTGAGTGGGAGTTTAATGACCTTAGGAAAGAGTTGGAGCCACCAAAGGAATCCAACAAAAAAAGTATAATCACTCCAAATCTATCTGATCCAAGAGGTCGCAGGAGTCTGGAATAGCGTCAGAATTTTGAGGCCCCAATGTCATTTGAGATTGTTTGAGACCTTGCAAAACACTCAAGTTATTTTTTCAGGTAGGTCGGGACACTAGGCATCTCGTTAATCCATTCATGCATGTCTCTAATTAAATGGCGAGGGCTTTGTTACCTTGAGAGAGTCATAGTTACTCCCGCCGTTTACTCAGGTCCGATTGAATTTGATTGCTTTGACATTTAAAAACATTGGACAGAAATCACATGTACAACACGGATAAAGGACATGCTATGAGACAATGCCTACTCTGCAACTATATCGTGTACAAAAACACTGTTCTTTTGATCTGACGCTATGCCACGAAAGGACTGGTACTTAAGCTGAACATTCTAAAGCCCTCCGGAGTTGACCTGTTCATGGGGGGGTTGAGGGTGTTTGCTTTGTTTTATCCTGGCGCCGGTCAAAGTCTAACCTACCGTGAAAATCAATAAGTATATGTCAATCAAGAAAATGCCTTGCTTCAGGCCAAAAAACCGAGACCTCACCGATCATGGCAAGCCGAGACCTCACCGAATTTTGCACATTGTGCCTGTAACACTGCCAGAATGCTCAACAGCAGGAGAATCCGCCAAAACTCCTCCGGGCAAAAAAGGAAACCATTCAAACGATGCATGGGTGCTTCATGATACTATACATTCCAACTGCCTAACATGAAATACAAAATGGCCGATTGGAAGACTACGTTTCTTTAGAACTTTAGTGAGTCAGAGCGTCATCTATCGTTTCATAGATTTGGGAGCAGTAAGGGGACCATGGATTACGAAACAATGTGGCTTTTACAGTAATAGCAAAAAAAGTTAACATTAATGAATATACAATAATGAATGAATATAATATGAACCAGTACCATCCAAAGGTACCTAAATTTACGTACCTGTTTTTTTCTGCTCGAGATCTTGGATTTCTGATCATTTGGGAATTTGCGCTCGTTTCCAAAAAAAGTGCTCGAGACATGTTAACACCACACTGTATTTAGATAAACCACTCACTGAAGTCCGGTGCACCAATGCATACACCAGCACACACACACACACTTTTCCTTCACCATTGACTTCGTCCAAGTCAGCCGGGGCCCAAATGCGAGAAGTACCTTTGGTACTTTAGGAGGCATCGGGACATTGTGCTCCAGGCAATTAGTCGTCCAGCATTCACTCGACGTACGATCCTGGCTGCCCTTCCTACAAAGTCTTCGTCACTCCAGCATCCCCAGCCTTAGGTGTGTTGGCAGGAGTTCTGGTTTGGGTGTTCATACCTCGATCATTGTGACAAGCAACATTGGGGATTGAGAATTTTGCCAACTCTTCCAGAGCTGCGGCAAAGAGAAATCTGAAGCTCCATATTCTTCCTCAACTTCAGCCACTAACGGATGGTACTGGAACACTCAAACAAATCTCCAGAACAGTGTGGAACAGTTTGGCTAAAGTGTCGGGATATGAGCATATAGATGCAGCTTTGGCCTGAGAAGGTACAAGTTCCAATTGCGCTGCGCGCACATGGTTGCCAAACCAGCATACCCTTCCTGAGGTTCAAAGATAAAAACACTTAAACTTCTTGTTGTGGTATGAACTACAAGACACTTGGGAGTACAGGTACACTGCATTCAAAAGTCTGCAACATTGAAGCCATATCGGCAGATGACTTCTGCTTTAGCAACCTCGATCCAGACTCCTTCCTTCTGAAGCGTGGAGAAGAACCGATTTGCATTGCGGGTTGTCCATGTCATCAGCTCCAACAGGGTCCGGTCTCCAGGATCCTTGGGGCTGATTGAAATTTTAGGTGAAGCTCAAACAACTCTGTCAGAATAACTAGCTCAAGAACTCTCCAAACAGATGTGAAGACTTGAGCCCTGGTTCTACATCAGTTGGGGCCATTGCATTAAGCTCCCACTCCAGCCATTGGCACATGAGTTTCGTATCATGCGCACGCCCGTGGCCTTGAGGAAATGATTTCGACCTTGGAGGCCACCAGCTGGCAAAGGAAGGGGCAGGGGGCCAGGGAGGTAACAATCACACCCTACCCCTTACAGAACACATCCAGACAAAAAACACTTCAAAAGATACAGATCAAGAGTCGACTGGATTTTGAAGTTCTTTGCCTGAAAGGACGTCAATGACGATGATTTCTTAAATTCTGCACACCAATTGTCAAACCTCTCATACGCTTGGTCCAGTTTGGATTGAAGGCGGGTCCCAGTGAAAATGTTCATCCGGCAAAGGGCTATAAGGGAGCTTGCATAGAGGTCACCACCAAATCCCAAATGAAAGCAGTGCATAGGATCAGGCTTTATAGCCTCTGCAAAAGAAGACCCTGGAATTGACCGAAGGGGGCTATACTTGTCTGGCTTGAATGGTGAAGGAGAAAGCTGAGTCCACATGCGAAGTTCTCCAGCCGGCGACATATTCCACCATTCCTGGGCAATCATACATTCACATGTGCACATGAGCAGGAGAGCCAATCCCCAAAATCACACTATATATAGCTCACACAAAGAATCTAGCTTATGCTAAGCTCAGATGAAGGGACAACTGCTGGGCACAAATGGCACAGCCGAAGCGAACGGAAACCAGACTGGAGATGGTATGCCTTCCTGGCCCACACCCAATCACCCTTTGTACCGGTGAATCCTGCATAGAAGAGATGGGTAGCACCATCAACCTAGGCTTTGTTGCAGATGCATGTCAATTCTCATCCCTATGCACTGAGCTACCTAAACCTTATTGTAGGCAAAGGGCATCAACTGAAACACCATCCTCAAAAGCAGCACAAAAGTCGTCTGCCAGGGCTTGATGGAGTCCATCAATGCTGGCATCATCTTTGGCGTACCACTGCGAAGGCAAGACGGTGTACAGTAGTCGGGTGGAAAAGGAATGCCTCACACACACACAAACAGTTGAGACCCTGTTCATGGCCATTTGGCAATAACCATGCAACAAATATATCACACAATCCACCACAAAGGAATTGAGGGCAAGCTGCACTGAAGCATTCAGGCTTTCCACACCAGTGAAAGGGATCAACACTTGGTAGCTCAAGATCAGAACTGGAGCCCTTGAGAGTCCTCTTCCTTCATCTCCGTGTAGAGCTATTGGTATCGTTCGTTTTCGTCGGCTTGGGTCTTTTTGGTAGATTGGGTGTGAATCATCTACAAGCCGGAAGTTATCCCAAAACTCTTCCAGCATATCCATGTAGGCAGAGCCACCAATATCATGGCCACCCAAAAGGAATCTTGGAGATTTCTGGAGAATGGTTTTCATCCAATTGGTCAACAAAATGACTGGGTACTTCACCACAATCTCGCGGATAGAGCGTTTACGCCTGCCATGCTTTGTTCGCACCTTCTGACGAAGTGGAATTTCAGGAGAACTAATGGATACTGGAAAGGTCTTCCCATCTCGAAAGATATACCTGCGGAAATCCCGGGCTGCATTCTTTCCAGTCTTCCCCGACTTTGTTAACCGATAGCGGGCTATCTTGTTGATATTGGTGTCAACTACACCTGTCCAGGGTCCCAAAGGTGTTTTGCACAACAATTGAACTTAAATTTGTACAAGCTGTTGGCCCACCCAACCTAGCTTCTTGTTTCTTTTTGCAGTGACCCCAGCCAAACGTAGCACCCCATGCGCCGTGGCAACCTAGGTTCAAGACGAAGTATATATATCGAAAGCTGTAATAGCTTCATGACATGTTCCAGTTATTTAGCTTTAATGATATCCATTTGAGTTTTGCAAGAAAGGCAGCTCCATTCTCCGCATCTTGAAGAAGAGCATCAACCAAGTCATCCGATGATTCATCCCCTGCGACATTCACCACTCCACCTCCACCAGACTGCAGCAACACCAGGCCTGGTTCTACGTGATGATCATCAGCTTCCTCATCGATATCCAGGCCTGCATTGCATCAGCAGCAAATGGAACAAGGCAGTTCTCACACAGAAAACAAGCACTCCCAAATTGTTGCAACACACCGCAGTGCAAACGGGTGCAAAGCTATAGTGGAAGCACTTTTTGACCTGTACCCCCAGGCTTTTGGCACAAATGTATATGGCAACACATGTGCCAATTGACAAGACCCACGCAGCTGTCATTCCTGACAAACGCGATCCAAAAACTGGAAATGCTGCATCACTTCTTGACCTTTTTGGCCTTTTTCTTAGGTGATGCCTTTGCTTTGTTTTCCTTCCCTTTGGAAGTAGCGCTAGATCCCTTCACACTCGCCGACGAAGATTTGATGTTCCTGGGGCAGTTGGACCAGTATAGCAAATTTGCAATGCAAGAGTGACTTTAAAGTATAGTGCATGGATAATTGCCACATAAACTGAATGCTTTCAAGGTTCTTGCTGCGGGTGATGTAGTTGTTTAAGGTCACATCAGTCTTGGTGCAAGCTGCAAACAGGTTCATGATATTCTTCTTCTTCTCATCCAGACCCCTCGTCAGGGAGGAACAGTCAAAAGTGTTCAACCAATCTTCTTTTCGCTGGTAGACTCATGGAACCAACAAAAACAAGACTAGTGGATCAACCAACACAA